TACCCTGGAACAGATTGCAATACAGCAAAGATCTAATCTATCTGTAGCTGTCTGTCAGTTGTCAGCAAGTCCGTAACAACTAGATAATCAAAACAAAGAATAACATCTCCTGTTGGAGATGTACACTGGATGGCAGATAGTCTGTTGAGTGCCACTGTGAACAGTTACCGGAATCCCCCCTCCCCCTGTATCCTTCTTGAGTAGTCACTTTGTGTCAACGTCCCTGAGCATCTGGTTAAGCAGCGTGTCTAAAGGTGTGCAATCTGGTCCCACCCTTGTGCCTCAAGTCATCGTCGAGCAAGGCAGCCACAACACTCTTATTTACCCTCGYACGCCGACGAGCCTTACACCCGGTTGATCTGGCTGATCAGGAGGAATTTAAAGAGCGCCCCCATCTCTTCAGGAATTATTTAACGTCGCAGTCAGGATGACGATCACAGCCAGATTCAGATCCGAGTCGCCAACCAGAAATGTTTATAGACGGTCGGGTGAGCGTCTCATAGAGGCTGCCATGCCCAAGTTTACCCCTATTTGCGCAAGCAGCAGAACTAGGACTTGCGGCCCAAGCATGCGTGTACTATTCCCAGCGGGTTGGCATGGTGATCGTGACCCGAGTGCTTCGTCCAGGGCCCTCCAGAGGCTTCGCCCGTCTCCCACCAGCTTGCTGCCCAGGAAGAATGTCGACTCTCAAGGTTGAGCGCTTGCGACACCTCACATCGAGAGGCCTCTCAAGACAGAACTCATTTCCTCACGGTAAGAAGAGATGAAGAGGGTAGATAAGGAAGAGAGCAACGTACCTCACAAATGCTGCCCCCAACCACAGATTTCTCACCGGTAACCTGATGTGCAATTACGATGACCGGTCTTTGCTTCGGCACAACCAACAGCAGTATGCGGTTCCACCTCAGCTTAATATGTCACATCAGCAAGTTCTCATCATCCAGCATACATCCCGTATGTCACCACATAGCTCCCCGGCACGCCCACACAACCCTGGGCCGCCTAATGTTCAACGCCAATGCTGTATCACTGCCCCACACCTCATGCGAAGCACCAATAGCTATTGCGAAGAACCAATGAAACGCAATATGAACCAGCTCCGATACCAAATTATCAGGAAAATAAGCAATAGCGAGATGATAAACCCAGATCACACCATCACATTGCGAGTCAAATAGTCACACTGTGTCCAGATAGTAGCATTGCACCAATAACACACCAATGGAGTTTCGTAGCACTGAAAACCAATGTCCGTGGGGAGCACACTCTCCCCTCTCAACACAAGAGTCCAGTTCCCTTACACTCTCACTTGGCGCTCAGCGCCCAGCCTACTCCTACACAGCTACTACAGACTACAAAAAGACGATGCAACTGTTGACATCAGCAGCAGCCTGAAGTAATTGAAGATGCCGCCCATGCAGACCATTGCCAATACAAGGTACGTGCCCTCACATCATCATCTTCATCATCATCCTTCACCTATCCCCTAACTTCACCGACACCTGTCCCCTCTGTCACCCGAAGACCACCCCTGCGCTTCACTGTATTCCAAGCCCACCAGCTATGGTGGCTGGGCTATGGCGCTGCCCTCATCAGCGCCCTCCTCCTCTGCACGACCGCACGTGCTGCACCTCGCCTCCCAGCGCTAGCAGCAGCCTACGAGCAGTAGCTCCAGCAGCGCTGCCGCCCAGCATGCGAGTGCCTGAATGAGGCAGCCAGGGCCGGGCTCTTTCCTTAATGGAAAGAGTTGGCCTGCTCAGGCAGCCTGGCTGCCTTGGCCTGGGCCCAGAAGCTTCCGGAAGGCCCCAGGAGGCTGCCTGGATGCAGCAGCTACTGGGCTGCTGGGCCTCGTTCGGTTGGGCGCCCAACTGCCTCTGTATGAGGCTGCGAATCCAGGGCCTGCATTCTTTGGAAAGGCCCGGTAGGCCGTGGAAATGTCTTTGTGGCTCGGCCTGTGTTTCTTTCAACCAACTGGCGTGTCGCAACTGCCTGAACCCCAAATATGAAATTGACAGTCGAAGGCCTTTTGCAAAAAGCCAGGCCCGCCTTCACTTAGGGCGGGCACCTCCTCCTTCACTTAGGGCGGGTAAGGTTGCAGACAGGGCCCCAAAGGCCTACCGAGGACCCTGATCCTCGCACAACTCAATCCACTCAGCACTCTGGAGCAGAGGCACCCGATTACTGCTCAGGGTAATTTACCCTGGACCAAACAGAGCACCTTGGCCCAGCAGAGCATCGTTGCTTTTCTGAAAATATGCAACATTTGGTTCAGAAGTAACTGGAAGATATTTCATCCACTAAAAATGGAGTTTTGGGAGACAAAGAATACCTTCCTTGAAGTTCCTTCCAATAAATAAAGGCTTTACCTTACCAATAGCGCTGCACAAGCTGCATCAGCGCAGACCCCTTTTTTTCTTTTTTTTTTTGCATCAGCGCAGACCTAGTGTAATAAACTCAGTTCATAGCCATACAGCCTCGGGCTAGGGTCGTCAGTTTTGGTCAAAGGCCAGAAACAAGGGTCAAAAGTCACGTCCCAAGTCTGAGAAATGTCTGGGAGAGCGAGGCTGCAGGGCTGTGAGGCTGATGGGACTTGAGAGGAAGATTACCTGAACTTACCTGGTGTTGCCACGTGTGATCTGCTGTTAGTCTCCATGAAGGTGTGGAAGTGTTGCGCCATCCTCCATATCTTATGTCTGACATGGAAAGAGGATGGGTCCCCTGCTATGGTCTGCACATTCATTATGTCAGAGGATGTCAGAGGTGAACATGCATTGTTCAGGTGCCCATAGGGGAGAAGCCCGAAGTGGAACTGGGAAAGGAGAGGGACATACATGTATCATTGATTACTATTGAGACTCTCCTCCTGCTCTTCTCGGTCTTTCCTCTCCTTTTTCTCTCGCTCATGCTCTTCTTTGACAAGGTGATGCTTAGAGTTGTGCATATAATCGAGACATTGACTTGTCATGACTCTGGAGACTTCATGTTGTGCATTCAGTTCAAACTTGTATTGCATTGCTGACAAGCTTCTCAACTATACTAGGTTCAATACACTAGATGATTAAAAGGATTATTATGTCTTCAGAAGGACCGATAGAAACTCAGCACACTGGTCAAACCAATGTTATGTGCCTGATTGAAAATGAATCCAGCATGGCTTTCACACGTTCCCATACACGTGCAATGACAAGTAGACTTGGAGAGAGCAATCCACACCAGACCATATGATGAGAATACACAGTGGAAGCTCACCAAACCGAAATAGAATTGAACTTAATTCAATTCTTATTATCACCGTCTCTCCCCAACTCAATCAGCAACAGGAAATTCTCAGGATCCCAACCACGTTACAACATCCACAAAGCAATCATTTACAGACTTTCATCAAGTGAGGGAGACTTCTTCTACCTCCCAACCTCAAGCCCTACCTATGGCGCCAACGCAACTCAAGCCAGTCCAGCCCACCAATCGCCACGCACCCTACTAAACCCAACACGACATTCTGCAAAACCATGAAGCCCACTGTAGATGAAGTGTCCGCTCAGCAGGGGAGCGCAGCTCCTAGGATGGAGAAGAAGGACACCAGCTTGATGAAGGAGAAGGTGGCTGCCACTACAAAGAGCACTTCGACGAAGGGCTTCGATGGCAACCCTGTCAACCCCAACAGCACACCAAGGAGGACGTGTCCAACAACGCTTAGGGCCTTGAGCCTAGTGCCAACTGACCCCAACAGCACACCAAGGAGGACGTGCCCAACAATGCTTAGGGCCTTGAGCCTAGTGCCGACTGATAGCAAGCCAAGCCGCCTCAGCTCTGGCCGCAGCTTTGTGACCAGGGAAACAAGGCTGCTTCAGCACTTGATTACCACAGCAGCTTTCCTCTGCGACCTCCAAACGAAGTGGGAAAAAAAATGACGGACAGAGACCCAGTCTAGATCGACCGCAACACTTCTGTAGATGCTAGTACTTCGACCTACCTTGATGTCATAAAGTCTGTGATGGCAGCATCTCCAAGAAGTTAAGGTTACCGACTAACCACTTGTTTATTGAGCTTAGAAAAGCACAATTACTCCTATCCCTCTAGCACCCAGGATGGTCTCTGGTTAAGCACTTGTGCATTGGAGTTTACTGCAGCTGGGCTCTACGATTGTTCCCCTTCCTCGTCCCTCAATTGCTGGAGAGGCTCGGTTGAAAGGGTGAAAATATTGGCACCCCTCACTTGTCACTCATACGCAAAGGCTTCGGGCAGTCACAAGGTCTTGGTCCTCCTGATTTCCCGTCTGGCCGTCGATTTGTCAAGACTTGCCAACACAACTTCCCGACTTTGACACTTCTCTCTTTCTCTTCCCACGCACATTCACCCTCCTGATTTTTCCAGGGGCTGTTCTGCAAGCGCACCCTTTATATGCCGAATAATGACGCATGCAGCACAGGAGAACGAGGATGAAGAACTTAACCATCTGCAGTGTTCCCCTCTGGCTACCAGTTTGTCAAGACTTGCTGAACACAACTTCCTAACTTTGAAACTGCTCTCTTCCTCTTCCTCCGCTCGCACATTCACTCTCTGCCTCCTGGAGCATGGGACCAACTACAGGCGTTTTGCCCTATCACTAGGTCGTCTAGCCTATAACAGGTGCTTGTTGCCGACAAGCAGGGTGTTAATTTTTCCTCGCTTATCCTTTCCCTGGACGTAAAGAATCTCTGTTTATCTTTTTGACGACTCAATATGGGATCCAGACTGAGCCCATTGTCGTGGCTTTGGTCAGGGACCAGGCTGCCACGCTCGACAAACTAACGACAACATGAGCTATGTTGTTAGCCTGAAAGAGGGAGAGAAATGGTGGTGGTGTTGGTGGGGGGGGGGAGAGGGGGGGAGAAGCATACTTGTTGAGAGTGAGAACAAGAATGTCCATATGCTAACAGTTTAAAAAAAAAACAAAGAAAAAGCAGCCATCTGATGACAAGTACGTCATTCTATCACGTTCTCCAGGAATATATACCGACCTGAGCACCGTTGGGAGGTTATAAATGCTAAGGTAAAACTCCTTGCCACCATCTTCTTCTGCATATGAGCGGAAGTATCTGGACATAAACAGCTGTACAGCCCTCTTAAATGCAGGCTCGTAACTGCCAGAAGAAACAACATTCACATCACCAAATGGAGAGACAATGAAAGCGGTGCCAAAACGGGCATCGTCATTGCTTGCACAACACAGCACATGCTGAATCATAATCCCAACACCACACATAGCCAAGCCCCTCACCCAAACAGACCGAATACTAGCTTGTGGCACAGTCATCCCAAGGCACAGAGCCTACTGTATAGATTCCAGCACCATGTTTCGGTTTTTCAACAACAAAGCACTGCTGCTGGGAAAAGTGCAGTTACAGAACATGGCAACGCCAAACACATCCATTGAGAACGAACTGGCTCTTCAATCGAGGACCAGACACACAATGGGATTAACATCAACGAACTAAGGAACAACAGAGCACTGTGTCTCAACTCTTCAAGACTCTGTGAAGGAACACGCTCAATAAGAGAGCAAAATGAACGACAATCAAAATCGTAAGCCCATGAATTATTGCCCGTACGCTGGGCAAAATCAGTCAACCAAAACACAACTCACAAAGCCTGTGCTCAAAACCAGAAGTACTGAAACTGCAGTTAAAAGTAAAAAGATACTCTCTCTCTCTCTCTCTCTCTCTCTCTCTCTCTCTCTCTCTCTCTCTCTCTCTCT